CAGGACGAGCGGCCATCTGCTTCGACCGGCCAGTAGTTTATTTAAAAAAAAAGATTTGGTCACAAAAGTTTGGTTACATTTGTTCGTGTTGTTTTTAAGTATTTTACATTTGCAACAACTTTTTTTTTTCTAATCACAAGATGATCCTAGACTAAAACTCTGGTATGAAAGGTGGCGGGTGATGTGCATTCAAGGAATACCTGACCTTTAATATGCAACATGTACCGGTAGTCAGGAAACATTCACAAGGAAGAACTTGCATTCAAACAACACTGTAGGGAATTTCTTAATAATAAAAGTTTGAGAATGTCGTTGCTGTTAAATATTACTGCAATCTTCATGTTTTGCGCCTTTTATTTTATTTGTGTGAACAGAAATGCAGGCAAGGCTTCATCTTTAAGACATTTATCTCCCTCAGGGGTCTATTATTCACCAGAAAAAAAAAAAAGAACTTATGACAATCCAAACCTTACAGCTGAGACAGCATCGTTTTCCTCTCTCACACGGATGACACACTCTAAACACGTGGTCTCTTCAGCAAAAACAGCACAGATGATAAAGTGAAGAGGAGAGGGGTGCTGCTGAAGAAACTGAGCGCAGGGGCATCTCTTTGGTCTCCATGATGCACATGGTTTCACCCCCCTGCCTCTCTTCCCTCTTGTGGTACAGTCCAGATAGAAGTCAGTGGCTTTTTAAATGTGGAAGATGAGCTCCAGAGGCAGCTAATGCAGCGACAGCTGGCCTGGTCCAGGAAGCAGGCAGAGCAGAGGGGGGAAATGAGGGGGGAGCTCATGGATCTGCCGGACCTGTTCTCTGTATTTATGTCAGGGACAGATTAAGGATGGCTGTTTGATTCTGTGAGTGAACTGATCTGAAGACATGTATTTGTGGAAGTGTGTTTAAGTTTCACATGGAGTGTTTGAAGTGTTTATTTCCTGTTTCTCTTTCTTCCTTCCATCATGTTCTAACCAGCAGTCATCATCCGGTGCCATTTGCCGTTTGGCATGCTCCATCTCCCTGTCAGGAGTGTCTCATTCCCTCTCTGTTTGTCTGCCTGTCCTCCTTTGACCCTGCTAGCTGCTGGTTAACACCGGCTCTGAGGAGACAGGCACGCTCTACTATCCTCATTCGTCATAAAAAATTATTTTAAAAAATCTCTCAAGTATTCCTCTTCCCTCCAACCCAGCCCATCTGCCCGTCCCTTGACGGCTTTCTCCAACATCCCCCAAGCAGTGAAGTGTTTGCTGTGCTGAGGAGACCGAGTGTTCATTGATTTTTGCACCACAAACTTGCTTTCTCATGCATTGCAGCAGTAAAAAGGTGCAACTGTGCACAGATAAGAAGCTCAGATAAATATCTGCAGCAAAAGTTATATGTGCACATGCAGCTGTAGCAATAAAAACACCACTGAGGACTAAAATACTGTAATTCTCCCTTCTCAAGAACACACAGCTTTCACTGTAATACACTTACCACTGAGTCAAAGAGGCTGAACTGAACTCAAATCTGCTGTTGTTGGTGATTTGGTGGTTTAAACAATGGGGGGAAAAATAGTGAGAAGATGTTCAACTTTTGGCTTGAGAGATTAGGCACAGTGGGATGTCAAAAATTACCTGACAAAAGGGGAAATCAGATAATTTGGGGTATTGCTCCTTCTGGATGTATCTTGACCCTTGACCTCTGAGCTCAATGAGACTTTTAGGCAACAGAAAGCTTAAAAGCTCCGTTAAAATAAACTACATTTTGTAGAAGTCAATCTTACTTTAATGCTCAGTGGGACAGAGCAACAAGCTGTGAACAACCATATTTCACTGTCTTTTAGTCAACATGTTGCAGAGCCTGGAATTTTTTTAATCAGATTACTCATTTCTGCATGAAGTCCTTGTACTACCCTTCTTAAAACAACAAAACCTTCATCTGGACCAGATTAGGTGAAACGCTGATGATTTTATTTTCTGAGTGGTTTGCACTCCAACTGTGAGGGGACGAGTTGTTATATAACTGTGGACGCTACGGATCCAAATATAGCAGCCATTAGGGGTTTAGCTTTGGGTCTAGAAGTCTAGGCTGGGCTTGGCCCTATTGTGGCCGATCATGGATGTCATTTGCAGCAGGTCGTTTCATGCCCTTCAGTGTCCATGGCGATCAGGATGGTTTGATGCGCTCTGAGCTGACAGTGGAGAGAACCACTTTTACGCTGCACAGATGAGCATCTGTCTGCAGGGCCGTTTAGCATCACAGCTTGTCCTTTTTTATCTAATCAGCCTTACTTTGCATAGAAAGCTATTCTTTTTGTGTTTGTTTTTTGTATATATGTTCTGAACAAAAAAAGTAAATTTCAAATATTTTTATTTGCAAATGAAAAATATTAATAATTTGCCTGTACAAAGTCAAAAAACAAGGATTTATTTAAAAAATTTCTACTAATCTGGTTAGCAGAAGAAAAAGCTGAAAAACTAGTCACTGAGCTCCTTTACATTTTTGAAGTTTATGGGTTGTTTTCAGCGGTGAGGCATCTGATTCAGCTACTTCCTACTGGCAAAGGCACATCATTGATTTTGAGCTGCTTGAAGGAAATTATTGAAAGAAACTGGCATTCCTGGAAGGAATGCATATTACTTGCTTCTAGTTTTTTTGTGTCTATCTGTTAGTGCTCAGAGGATGTGATGAGGATGACTCTCAGCTGCACCAGCACTAAATCTTGCCTGAATATCTGTAAAACTGATCAAATTATAGATGTTTTTTTGTTGTTGTTGCTAAAATCGATTAGTGGCATTCATCTTGAATCAGGATGACTCAAACATTGATCTGTTATAAATGCAAACAGTGATCTGCCACTTTCATTAAAATCCTCAAGATATTTTGCTAACAGACAAAAAAAAAAGCACACAAACAAACTCACACACACACATATACATATGAACACCATAAAAGGTGGACGATAATAAATAAAACTTTCTTTGAGTTCAGGTTTTTGCATAATTAACTAATTTAAAAAACTAAAATCGCCCCTTATCTTCAGTCATCTGAAAATAAAAAATGAATAAACTCCAGCATTATTGCTTTCTATACTAACATTTAAATAATGCACTACCAAAGTCTTATATATCTTAAAGAGTTAAAATTAGATATAAACACAAAATTTATTTGATTTTAGTGTACTCAACACAGGTTTAGTTGGATATTTATTCACAGAAGTCTGTTTCCCTCGGTGTTCTTTGTCTCAGATACAGTCAATGTTTAACTTTCCTGCCATGTGGTGCAGCCGAACTTGTTCTCGGTGTTGAGTGGGATGTGTTGATTGGACTGTTGATCAGGGAGTGAAAAAAATGTGTGGTGAGTTGTACATCATCCAATTATTTTACCATGATCTTTTTCCTCTTTTAAACAAGCACTCTGGGCTGAAACTGAGTAGAAAAAGCAGTCGGTGTCTAAAGAAACACTTTCAAAGACCTTCAGAATTCCTGAGGTCAACATCACTTTAAGAGATAAGAAGCAGCTCCTTGAAAGTAAAATATCATCTCACAAATTTTAATAAAGTTTTGTAAATTTCTCTTCAGTCCAGTTACTTGGAGATGACACTTTCCGAAAAGTGCTAAATAAATCAAACTCTGTATGACACTATGAATCCTCCCTGACCTTCCTTCAAGAATGGTCTATAAATACCGAGGGACATCGGCCCCACTGACACAATAAAATATTTAACATCATGATGAATATTTCAGTGACCGGGGCAGAGTTTCAAAGTACAGATTGATATCTATCTAAAAAAAAAAAAAAAAGGACAAAAAAATAAATAAATACTACAGGAAGGCCCTGTATATTAAACTATTTTTTGTTTCTCTGTTGCTGCAACTGTTTTTTCCTACACTGATGTAACCAAGCCTGGTTAAATTATCGACTTTCATCTTTCTTTGTCTCAAGCCTTTTCTTTTTAAGGATCTACTTAGTTTTCCCCTCCTTGTTCATCTATAGCAGCTAAGTTTGTTTAAGACGGTGGTCTTGCGGAGCAACAAAGGCGTGTGTGTGTGTGTGTGTGTGTGCTGATGCGCTCTCCTCCTGAATGGGTCATTGTGTTTGAAGGCACAAACAACCTCTGAGCTCAGACCTCCTGTGAAAGAGCAACAAGCTTCTCCAAACTGTTCTGGATGCTGATAATCATCTGTATGGCACAGGAAGTAAAGTGCACTAATTAGATGTTCCTAAATTGGTTGAGTGAGTTTGCTCAGCTGATTCAAAGTGTCATCAAAGACTCTTCTGTATGATAAAATAAAAGGTTGCTGTCGGTTTTTGACTAAATTAAAAGACATGCTGATGGCGTCACTACCAGGCTTAGATGTCACAAAGAGAATGAGGCCACTCACAGCTTTAATTAAATAATTGAATGCAATTATAATGCATCTGTCCATGAATACGTATGGATGCCACGTCTGCGTAAGGGCAAAATGCATGCAGGTGTGATTAAAAAAGTGAAAAATGGACGTCTGTGTAAAGGTTGGGGTGTAGGGATTTAAAATATCAGAAAAAATCCAACTTTTTTTTTTTTGTTATTTCCTAATAAAACCAATTCAGATTTTTTTTTGAAGTGGGATTCTGAACACTTAATGTCTTACATATACCTTTTTTTAAATTGGAGTTTAATTAAGGCTAAAGTCTAGACTGAAGGGCTAACACCAAAATGGATTGCTGTCCTTTTAAAACAACTCTGATTTTTTTTTTTTAAGTCACAGTGATTCATGTGAATGTTATTGTATAAACCTTACCATTGCTATCAGCTTCACATTGCTCAGTTATTTAGACTGAATTATATGGTTATTTGTGTAACAGCAGCTAGTTGTAACACTCCCAGAGCAGCCTGGTACAATTCTGACAGGAGTTTCATAAAGTTTTTCCTGGAAGTGCAAACTAAAACATCTTGAAAAGCATTGAAATGCAGAGTTTTTACTAAAAAGCTGCCTTGCCCTCTAATTTTCTTAGTTGAAGTGCGTAATCCTCGCCGCCTCCTCACTTCTCAGCATTCTTTACCTGGGATCCCTGTGGCCTTGAAACAATCCATTGACCTGCGCACCTCCATGGACGGGAAATACAAAGAGATAGCTGAGGTCAGAAGTCAGGCATGAAGCTTTGTTACCTTTAATAGGTTGGTTTTAAGCTAACTTGTGGCTTCCTTGTTGTTGTTTGTGTGAAGGAGCTTTTCTCCCGCAGCCTGGCAGAGAGCGAGATGCGGAGCGCTCCCTATGAGTTTCCTGAGGACAGCCCCATCGAGCAGCTCGAGGAAAAGAGGCATCGCCTTGAGCGACAGATCAGCCAGGATGTCAAGTAAATATCACAAACAAAAAATGAACAAAGCGGCACGTATAATAGTTTAAGATCCAAATAAAGATTTCAACATTCTTTACCCTCCAGGCTTGAACCTGACATCCTCCTACGAGCCAAACAGGATTTTATGAAGACTGACAGTGCCACAGATCTCGAGTGAGCCCACAGTGATCTCGTTATGATTATAATGTTATTTAAGTTTTGTAACATGCTTAATGATCTATTATTAGATTCATGAAGGAGCAGAGTGAGGCTCCAGATCAGCAGGACAGAGACCTTATTACTGAGAGGGAGTACCAAAGAGTCACTATTTCTGGAGAGGAGAAATGTGGGGTAAATCAGAGCAGACTAAAAATAAATTAACTGTGTGCTTTCTCAAAGACAAATGGCACCTCCTCTCTCATGAACATATGATGTTGTGTTGTTCTCCTTTGTTCCATCAAGGTTCCATTCACAGACCTGCTGGATGCTGCCAAATGTGTAGTAAAGGCTCTGTTCATCAGGCAAAAGTACATGAGTCTGTCTCTGCAGAGCTTCTGCAGGACCACCACCCGTTACCTTCAGGAGCTGAGCGAGAGACCTCTGGACTTAGACATCTATGAGGAAGAGATCCCAGAGACGTCAGTCACTGCAGGTTGGCATACTTCATCTTTTTGTTTCTATTCTCAGCCACAGAATTAGGATTGTTCAGACCTTTGAACAAGAAATTCTGGAGAATAGTTGAAATTGTCCAGTGCAGCTGCTGCCCACAACTCCAACTTAACTTCTAATCCAAGCTTTAAACAAAATGCCTATGTATCGATGTGTAAGTTGTATAAAGAGTGTAAAAAGAACAAAGTTCTCAATATGTTTGTCATGGTAACTCCACACCTGTACCTGACTGCCAAGAGACAGACAGAAATCTTGAACAGCCTTAAAATGTAGTGACAAAATGCTCTGACGGTCCCACTTTCTATTTTTTTTTTCAAACTTTATTCAAATTTTTCATTCTTTTTTTTAAACACAACATTTAAAGAAACAACAAACAAACAGACACGCAAGCAACCTCCATTCTCAAAAAAAAATAAAAAGGATCAAGAAAAAAAGACCACCCAATCTTGCCAATATAGAAAACCAAAAAAAAAAAACTAAGAAAAAGAGGGAGAGAGACGGTCCCACTTTTTAAAAATAACAAGGGAATTATAATTGTTTTAAGACAGCAGTAATACGCATCTTGTCTTCGCACAGACTAGCCATCAGCTCATCAATCTGGTCAGAAAAGAAAACTCTTTCCAAACAGAACTCATTAAAAGAGTTATCCACAACAGGAAAGATACTAACTGTTCATAACCGATCCACAACACCCTGCTTCCAAAGAACTGAACTATCCCTTTACAAGACTGAAAGAGAATTTCTCAAGTTTGAGATATGAGGTGCATAAATTCATTTTTGGAACAGTCTACTTTTAAATCGTGGTTAACTCCATGAATTCAGGAGATCCTCTCTCTGATACTCCAAAGTTAATTTGCTCTGATCTGCCATCTGCTACATGTAAGTTACTAACTACTCAAAACCACAACACAAAACTCAACTATTACTTTAAAGAGACACAAGATAGAGGATGAGGTTTTACACAGAAAGTGACAATGGCAAAGCTGCTACATAAAGTATTCACAGGTTCTGTTTTTAAATTTGCCTTAATTTATTTTAGATTAAAAGTACACAAACTATTCTCATAAACCGTCCAAATGATGTTAGGAACTATTAAACGAGCATTGTATGATGTAATCTCTTTAAAAAAGTGAGTGAACTTATATGTGGTGTCACCTGTTGTACTATTCTCATAATAAAATACACCCTGGTACACCCCCAGATTTAAATATCTACAATCTGCTACACTCCCCCTCAACATGCTGTCACAACGTGTAGGCTCTTGAAGTCAGATGTTGGCTACACGAGTGAGATATTCTGCCTCTTCGCAGATGCCACCGTGCACCCACCTACTTCTGACAAGCACCCGTATGAAAACCAGGACCCTGCCAGCATGCCTTCTGATGAGGGCTACGGCTGTAAGATGGTCAACGGTGTCATGCACGTCTACACAACAAGGGACATCATGGAAAAGTGAGACAGATCTTTGACTTGATCTTCAGTGGAAGTCTTCACATTTCATTGGGAGCAATGCAAACTCTTTTTTTGTGTAACAGGAGCACAGAGCTGGACCTGCCGTATCCAGACCTGCAGGAGTACATCGCTGACATGAACGTCATGATGGCTCTCATTATCAACGGACCAGTGTACGCTCTATTTGATGTTGATTTGAATTTGTGTGTGTATCTTGCATTTATTTGTAGAAACAAAAAACAGAGCAGCGGTTTGTCTGCCTTTGCCACAGAAAGTCCTTCTGCTACCGTCGGCTGCAGTATCTCAGCTCCAAATTCCAGATGCACATTTTGCTGAACGAGATGAAGGAGCTGGCAGCACAGAAAAAAGTGCCACATCGAGATTTTTATAACATTCGTAAGGTGAACGTGAAAACTTTGATTACCTGATCCTAATATGTCCTGTTATCCAAAATCAAACCTTCATGATTATTTTCTCCTTCCTTTGTGAAATTTTATAGGTTGACACACACATTCACGCTTCAGCTTGCATGAACCAGAAGCATCTTCTACGTTTTATCAAAAGGGCCATGAAGAAGTATCCTAAAGACATTGTGCACATGGAAAGGGGCAAAGGTCAGACGCTCATGGAAGTATTTGAGAGTATGAACTTGACAGCCTTTGACCTAAGTGTTGACACTCTGGACATGCATGCTGTGAGTAACACAACCTCTAACCTGGTTAATAAACGTACAACAATGTGGACGTGAATGATGTCAACAAATGAGTCCAACTAGATGTTAACATTCATTTCTACAGGACCGTAACACATTCCATAGATTTGACAAATTCAACGCCAAATACAATCCCATCGGTGAATCCATCCTGAGAGAGATCTTTATTAAAACAGACAACTACATCGAGGGGAAGTACTTCGGTCACATAGTAAAGGTACTTGCTGAATACACACGTACTGTACTTGCACTCTACGAGCTGCTTTTTAACGGCTGCATATCGGCTGAGCGGTGCCCTCTAGTGACCGTCCCTTTCCTGTTTCTCAGGAGGTGATGGCTGACCTGGAGGAGAGCAAGTACCAGAACGTGGAGCTCAGGCTGTCCATCTACGGGCGCTCCAGGAATGAGTGGGACAAACTGGCCAAATGGGCCATCCAACATCAGGTCTACTCCGACAACGTGCGCTGGCTCATACAAGTGCCACGACTCTTGTGAGTTTCACCAGTGGTAGAAGTACTCAGATGTTATACTCAGATACAGGGGTAATACTACCATACATTATATTTTATTATTCTCCACTAAAACATATTGTGCTGTATAACACATAGTATTTTATGAATATATTTGCCTTTACGACACAAAAAAAACATTATGTTCGTATTATATAAGCCAATCTAAAAACTAGCCTACACAGTTTAGTATTATTTAGTTGTAATAAGTTGCCCTCTTGCATTGTAGTGAAATAATAACAAATATAAACATTTATTACCGTTTCTATACCTGCCATTTTAGGTGTAATATTTAAACAGATATCAAATGAGACAACAATTTATGTGTAATAATTTTATTTGATTTAAAAAAAAAAAAAACATTTTTGAACAACACTCTTTTTATTTTTATCATTAAACTGTCAAATGATTTTATTTCTACCGGTAATCACATTTGTTGTTTATAATACTGGATTATTTGTGTGTTAACCGCAAAAACTTTTTTTTTTATTATTATTTTTATTTTGGTCCTGAATAATATTCACAAATTGTAAGGTTTTGGAAACAAACGTTAATATAATTGTTTTAATGGTCTCTTGTGTGTTATAAAATGAGTCCTTGTAACTTTAATCTTCACAGTGTTTGTTTTAAATCCCAAAGTGAGTCTTCTTCATAGAAATAAGGAGGGTAATAATTCATACTTTAACTTAAAAATCATGTGTTAAAGTGACCAAATGTTCAGTGAGAGTAAAAACTGTGTAACTTTGCTAATGCTGTATTCAGATTGACACATTAATAATTTCAATCTGGGTCCCAGCAGTTGGAATGTTTTTTCTCTTTGTATTCTTAACTTTTTGATAAATAGACAAATAACCAAATTAACCGTTAAACCATATAACTTCCTTGAAAGTGAAAACTGGTTACCAAAATGTAAATTATGAATGTAAATTAACTTCAACTTCCAAACTATTGAGTGTATTCCGTTTTGTGTTTTGTTAATTGTTGTTACACTTTCATGAATGAACTAAACTACATGGGCTTTTTATTGTTTGTTTTATTGCTTCATTATTCTATTGTTCGCATGTGTGACATTTTAATTACTTGTTGTTTGGCTATCACTTGGGTCAACTTTAGTGGTTTCCTAAAAAAAAAAAAAAAGTATAAATAAACTTAACCTTGATTTTCTGTAAAGTTGTCCATATTTAATAGACAACAGATTCTTCATTAGTCTCCATTTTCTGCTTGAAGTGATGTCTACCATACAAAGAGGCAACTGTCCAACTTCCAGGAAATGTTGGAGAACATCTTCATGCCCCTGTTTGAGGCTACAATCAACCCTGGAAGCCACCCGGAGCTACACCTCTTCCTTCAACATGTACCACATCTGAACTGAGTAAATTGCTGATCTTTCAGGTGGCCCTCAGAGGTTTTTACAGCTCTGCTCTCGGTTCCTCTCACAGATCGTTGGTTTTGACAGCGTGGACGATGAATCGAAGCCAGAGCTGCATATCTTCAACATGGACAGCCCACTGCCAGTCAAATGGGCAGAGGAGGACAACCCACCTTATTCGTACTACCTCTACTATATGTATGCAAACATGACAGTGCTGAATCACCTGCGCAGGTAGGTTAAACTCACCTCAGTTTAAATGGCTGCCATAATCTATTTTATGCTAATGCTAGTGGTCCTGAACTAAGTAGTCCTTCCTTTTTGTTTTTTTATTTCAGAGGCAATTGAAATTATTTACCAGATCACTGTTTTTCTGTGTCAAAAGTAAATTAAATGTGTTTTCTATACATTTTACAAGAACCTAGAAAATGAACTTGTTCTTTACTTTTATCCATCATCTGTTTGATAGGGAGTCACTGGAGAACGGCAGTGGGTGTTCATTTATTCAGGTTGTACCTCACTTGGCTGAAAAACAAACGTTAAAGTAACCCTCCATCTGTCTGTCTTTTGTTTCAGGCAGCGTGGGTTCAACACACTTGTCCTGCGTCCTCACTGCGGAGAGGCGGGGCCAATCCATCACCTGGTGTCAGGTTTTATGTTGTCAGAGAACATCTCCCATGGGCTGCTGCTCAGGAAGGTACGACACCAGAAACGTTCACAGTGTTGTGCATCATCCTTAGAGTTTGTGAACAGATCAGGTTTCAATCATGCAGATCATCTGGCTTGTTTTTGGTTGATCCAATCGTTGCTCTCATGTTTCAGTATTATTCCTCTTTCCCCCTGCAGGCTCCAGTGTTGCAGTACCTGTACTACTTGGCTCAGATAGGCATCGCCATGTCTCCTCTCAGCAATAACAGCCTGTTCCTCAGCTACCATCGTAACCCTCTGCCAGAGTATCTGTCCAGAGGACTCATGGTCTCTTTGTCTACAGATGACCCTCTGCAGTTTCACTTCACCAAGGTCAGACCAGAATTAATGAAACAGTTTTAATCTGATTGTTTTTCCCCCAAGGTGCAGAGAAAAGTTTATCTTTATTAAAAGCCTAATAAACCATTTACCAGCACAATCTGTAGTTTTTTATTTTCTCTCATTTTTAGGGGACTAAAATTAAAAAAAACATTAAAAGAAATTCTAAAAATTCCAATAACATTTTTCTTTGTATTTCACTTATTGTATTAATCTTGTTTTAATTGGGATTTAAACAGGAAATTTGGCCCAGTGAATAAGAAGTTGTTCTCCAATTGGAGGGTCGGGGGTTCGATCCCCAGCTCCTGCATCAAGTCAAAGTTTCCTTTGGCAGGAAACTGAACCCCCTCTGCCACTGATATGCTTATTGATGAGTGACATAAGAGAACTGCTCTTTATATAGTGTAAAATATACAATAAAAAGCACAGTCTGGGTGAAACATAATAAAGTGCTCTGAAGAACCTCTGGAGAGTTTAAAAAGGTACTGCATGGAGAATTTATCATTTAATTGGATGTGTATTTTGTGTGCAGGAGCCACTGATGGAGGAGTACAGCATTGCAACTCAGGTGTGGAAACTGAGCTCCTGTGACATGTGTGAATTAGCCAGAAACAGCGTGTTGATGAGTGGATTCTCTCACGAGGTATTACTATCTTCATGGCTCATTATACTGCACATTGACCTACAAAACATTTAGTCTCACTCTGACTCCTGTCTTTGACCAGGTGAAGAGTTACTGGCTCGGACCGAACTATATCAAAGAAGGACAGGAGAGCAACGACATCAGGCGCACCAACGTCCCCAACATCCGTGTGGCCTACCGCTACGAGACCCTGTGTGAGGAGCTGAACCTAATCACACAGGCCATTCGCACGGACGAGCTGGAGACCATCGAGGAGGAGGGGATTCTGTGTATGGGACCAGCGCAGGCAGAGAAGTGAACACAAACAGCTTACAGTCCCTGCTTTCACTTCAGGACATCAGTCATATTTGCACATATCACACTTGTGAAAGAAGAAAAGCTATTTTTAATGGGATCATGCTGAGAGGTGTTTTCTTCTTTTAGTTTCAAGTAATTATTAATTTAATTTATACTGTGTGTTGAACGTTTGTGTTTTTCACAGTCTGTTAGCGTATTCTGTTAGCATTTCTATATCATGACTGCAATTCCTGTACCAAGGCTTGAATAATATTTGCAAACAAAAGGAAGAAAAAAAATCATGCCCTGGGTTTGACATGAACTGACAAAAGAGACTATAATTTAGTGATGAGAAAATGTTTAAGTACCAACAGAGCTCCAGCTAGGACTGACAGTACTGAGGTCCTGTTCCTGCATGTTTGAGATTTATGAATCAGTTTTTAAAAAGATAAATTCAAGTAGGTTCATTAACCAACAAATTTTAATTATTTGAAAAGTTGTAAAAACATCAGTTTAACTTGGTACAAAATTTTATTTTATTCCTGATATTCCTGTATGCAAATGTGGCAATTAAAAAAATACTTTTTTTTTTCCAGAATCAACGTGTTTAATTTATCACCCGAAAAGAGAAGTTGTCTTAAAAAAAAAAAAACTACAGTTTTTTACTCATTCCTTACTTCTCACAAATAGTTCTGCGTTGATGTAACACTAAAGCAAAGTCAGGGAGATCTTGGGTTTATTTAATTCGGAATGGTACCATTTTTAACATATTTTGTTTGTTCATAATAAAAATGATAAGATCATAGTGTTACAGATGTGTTGGAAACCATAGATTTGCACAATTTAACCCTATGGACTGGCACTTTGTACAAGTACAAGCATCACTGAGAAAAGCAACAACTTCTGTGTGTACAGACACACTTCGTGCTTCAAGTGGAGTAGAATAAGTTTACAGGGAGTGTGAAAGTTGTGGAACATTGACGTCAGCGTTGTTAGTCATGACTGCAGCTCTGTCCTCATTAAACAGATAAGCAGGTATGTGTGATGCATAAAAAATACAATAAGTGGGCTCACAATATAAAAAAAAAGTGCTGATATATGTGAGCTGGCTGATAACTACTGTGACTTATTATTAAGTTACAGAAAAAAAATCAAATTCTCAGCGTTTGGCTATTTTTACGTGTTTTTCCGTCTTTACAGTGATTCAGTGATGTTGCATGAGAGCCTGTTAATGTTTACTTCTTGTGTGCAGCAATACTACACATTTTGTAGTATCATATCTAACTTTCTGACACTTTTGTTTCCACTGAAGGTTTGAATTTTGACTCTTCGCCATGTGTCGTTGGCAGACATGTCTAAAAAGATGCGTTTGAGTGGTAAATCGTGCATGATGATCTCTTCATTTAGCTTTTACCCCTTGCACAATAAAACAAGTCAAAAAACGAACTCTGAACTCAAAGTCTGATAATGGTTGAGCTCTTTTGACATACCTGCCTTTGCTCGTGATCCCGGTGCTGCTGTTTAATATTAAAATGCACTACGCTCTAACAAAAGTTTGAGCTGTTTGTGAAATGTTATTTATTGATATTTGTGTCTATTAAATAAATATTCATGTTACATCACTCTCCTCTTTTTATTAAACTGTTAATAAATGATTAAAAGGGACAAAAATGTTCTGCCACTAAGAAAAATAAGCTTATAAATCAACACGTTTTGCTTATAAACTCCCAACATATTTTCAGAGCAACAAAGAATGATTTGGTGTTCGTTCACTTCCTCTTCCTGTCCACTCAGGACATCACATGACCTCTACGTCTTCAGGCCCTGTTGAATTAAATCTAGTTTTTAGGATCACTTAACGATTTAATCACAGAAGACATCCCAGGACACTTTACAGGGAAAGCAAATAGGATGAATCAAAACCCCGATATAATTTTTAAAGACATTAAAAGTTTGAATTTGGACTTTGGCTGCTTTTTTACTCATTTTCTGAGCATATTGTGCATTTAATGTCATTTAAATGTCAACCTGGTTATCCTTTGGAGTTTGTCATTTTCAACTAAAAAAGCTGAAACATAAAACCTAGTCTATTTAAATCAATCTTTAATTAATCACCAGGAAAAGGTATACAGGAGCAACTACCAACCTGAGCACTAGGTCAGACACTTCCTAAAAGTTCACTCTTTAGAAAGTAGGGACATGTAGTGATAAGATCTGCAACGATGATACTCTCACCACCATGAAGGAAGATCTGCTCCAGATTTATTTTGTGGTTTGACAAAGTAACAAACAGTGGAAGCAACAGTTTCTCTGGGGGACAGCTGGTGAAACCACCAGTAGTTTTTCATAAGTTTTACTATGCTTTAATCTTGAATAAATCTAATGCTGACTGGGTTTTCAAGAGCAACTTGGCCATGATTTGCAGATGGATTTAAGTAAAAATGGTACAACCCTCTACAAAAGATTCTTACATGTGACACATGCTGGCAAATTATTGATTTTTGCTGTAATTGAGTTTACAAGTTCATAAAAACACAATCTAAAGTCAACGTTTCTTTATTTGTCATTCACACTACATGTGGTACATGTACAAAATTTTGTACACAGGGTCCCAGTTAAATCCAACAAAAGTATAAGTCGTAAAGAAAAACAGTAATAAGATCTAAGATATGAACTAAGAAAAACACTAAACTAAGAATACGCTATGCACTAGTAGAACAAAAACAATATGCCAAACAACAGCAGCACGAACATGAGTCTGTGTGAGCAGATGAGTACGAATATATGGATCTAGTGATCCCACTAACTAAAATAGCACAAAAGCTTCCTAATCTACCTTTAAATTCAAACTTTTTTAAACAAATATGGCTTTAGGAATAACCATTTTAATTCTAATCCTTTTCATTTCTTTTGAAATTGACTGCTTTTATTGCTGAATGCTGTAATAATCCTCTCCAGAACTCATTTTGCCAGCACAGGTTACAAATTTGTTTAAATGTTTTCTCCTGGAGTAATGTTAGAGCTTTTGCAATTTGTGTCTGTAAAAAATAAACGAGTAATTCAAAGGGGCTTTCTCTTCATTCCAAATAACGAGTGATTAAGGGTGAAAATATGAAGAAGTTCTAACAAATAATACATGTATGTATCAATAAATTATGCCTCTGTTGAGTTGGCACTCGATAATCACAAGTGGTTTGTGGGAGTGTGTGCATGAGTGAGAACAGGGTGTAAAACAAGGACGGCATTGTTCTGTGGGCCTGTAATCACTTGATTAGTCACTAATGTGGGTCAGAGTGAAAGTTCAAGAAGCAATTTAAACCAAAAGTATCTCAAAAAACATTAAATGAACATTAATGATTACTCTCATAAAGTAATCCTTAGATTATCATCTACAACTAAATTACTTTTGAAGTCCACCCATTTTAAGATGGCCGCTACAGGTAAGCAACATTAGCATGCACATAAAGGCCTTTAACTCGGTCAAATGTAAAGATACTGATCTAAAAATTGGTGTGGGAGTAGCTGAAACTCCTCCTGAACATACACTTGAAACAAATCATACAAGAGCTCAAACTATTTCATAATAATGGGTGAGGCTTAAATGATAGGCCTTTAATTATTAGTTGAAAGATAATACTTTATGTTGGGGTAGTGTTTTATATGGCACCTTGATTTGACTGTTTTAGTTGACTAATTGCATTTTGTTGAATTATTGTTGTCTGTACTTTTTACGTTTGTCTAAAACAGGTCTCTCTTGAAAATGAGCCCTCGTGACTCATGAGACTGTATAAAGGTTGAATGAATGTAGGCCTGGTCTTTTATTTGGACTCTATGACATTCTATAGCTATAAGCTTGCATGTGAAAAAGAAGGCTTGGTTTACTTTCCTTTCTTCTGACACAAAACACCCCATAGTATTCCTTTGTGTGGGCAAGTTAGGGCAGAGCATGTTTACACATTAATCATGCCTGCATGTCTGTGCTCTCAGGGTTTTCATATAGAAAGTTCCAGACTGGTTTATGATGCTCTAATGGAATCCTCTGTCACTCTGATCGATTAACACGAATACGGCGGATGTACTTATTGCATTCATAATTCATGTGCACATACCCTGCAGATTTGACGTTAAACTTCCCGCGGATCAAGTTGTGGGAAACAAAAGACTGACCCCTCCCACCTTCTCCTCTAAAGACCTCGCTCACCACGTCTCTCTCTCTCCAGAGCTTTGTTTGCAGTCGAACAGCTTGCAGCTTCCCTCTCATCAAATCTGTTTTGGAGCAGAAAAGCAACGAAAAGTGAATCAAAATGGCCATGACGCTAGCTTACTGGGACATTCGCGGGGTAAGTTAACGCGTTTTCGATGTTGTTGACTGAACAGACGAGTTGGCAACAATGGATTATTAAATGATGCGTAAACTCCGATATTTAACTCTACCGCCCGCACCTCGCAGGCTTTCAAACTCCTTGGAAGTTTTTGTAAGCATTCGGGTTAAGTTGCACCGTCACTTTTCATTAATAGGTTGTTGGTAAAAGCGTTAGCTAAATGCTAAAAAAGCGGCGCAACGCAACGGTTGGTGGGCTCGTGTGCTTCTAACGGTTGTTGCGTTTGAATAACGCGGTTAACTCGTCTTCAAGATACATTCACGACGAAATTATCAGGAGAGTTTCTGGGTCTAAATGTTGCAGAGCTGGGTGTGTTGGTCGTTTTGCCGAGCTCGTATGTTTTTAAACACAAATTAAGCTTTAAGCGTGATTTATTTTTTTATTTTTCACGTGACTTTAACGTTCTGGTGACTTATGAAGTCGTGTGAGCTCTACTATTAACGAACAAGCTATCCAGACTGGGCTTGAACTTTCACCACTGGCTTCAAAGACAAACCCAGTGTTTAACCAGTGCCAGTTCAGATGCTGTTCAACCGGTTTTTACTGTTCATAACTGAAATATGGAGTGGTTTCAACACCTGCCACCATGGTTTTACTGTTCATCTGACACAGGTTGCCATAATTGTGGTCTGGGTACAATGAAATGAAGCATCTGAAGAGAAACCTGCTCCTATTTGTCAAAAAGTCTGGTCTCAATTAAAGATCATGAGTCCTATGACGAGATAATGACCCAAACAAACGCTAAAAACAAAATTTGCTTTATAGAAGTGCTCTTCTATGAGATCTGATCTATGAAAGGAGCTGAAACATGAAGTAGGGTTGACCCTTAAAATGTGAAACAGCTGAGGAATTTAACCACTAAACAGAAATACCTGCTCCAATTGCAGAAAATTTACAGAAACTGTCAAACACTCATCTGCAGTGACTGATTTAAAAGTTGAAAAAGAAAATGTGAAGTTAAAGGCAACATCCTTTGTCCCAAGGCCAGTTTAAGTATCATTAATATTTTGGCTACTTTATTTTTCTTTCTTTATGAATCGATTGTAACTATTTTCACATTTTTCAACAACCAAAATGGATTTAGTTTTTTAATGTAATGGCTAGGTATTCGAAAACAAACATTTAGCCCTCTCCACTACCCAGTTATGTTGCTCTTATTTTGAAATGTAACCGGAAGTTCTGTGTTAAGAGAGGCGGAAAGAGAAGTTATGGAGATGCCGCTAATGTCAAACCGGTTAACACCTCTGGTTATACATAATGTCTGTGGTTAACACAAACGGCTTTTTTTTTTTTTTTTTTGTCCAATCAAATATGGTCCTCCAGATACGCCCATTTTTCTATCGTCCAATCAGATGTGGTCCAACCGACCTGCCCACTTTTCTATCGTCCAATCAGATGTAGCCCGCCAGACACGCCTATTTTTCTATAGTCCAATCGGATGTGGCCCTCCGGATATGCCTCGTCCAATCAGATGTGGCCCCCCAGATACGCCTTCTGATTTTGTCTGCAGAGATACCTACTTAGATTTTCCACTTAAATAAACTTTGTTTTTCACTGAAACGTTGTTTTTCCACTTATACTTTAACAAAAATCACTGCCCTCATGCCTATAGGTGGTTAACTTAACAAATAGGCAGTTGTTCCAGTTTAGTTGGCAGTTTTCAAGAAATATGTCTGAGTCTTGTAGGAATTGTGTGTTTTGCCAATACTACCATTTTTCCATGACAGGTGGTGGACAACATGTTTCCCTTCCAGGAATACTATTCCTTTAATATTAAGTCAGTTTTCATACATGAACACAAATTTTCTGGAAAATGCAAGGACAAATTTACAGTTCAGAACCACTTCACAGGGTAGTTCTGTTTTTGCAGCAGGAAATGTGAGAAAAGCATCTTGGTAAAAATCATAGATTTATTGGTCTTCTTGAGATTGGGGAATGGTTGATCAGTTTTCTTGATGCCTGGATCGGTCAAACAAACAGAAAACAATAAACTTGTCGGTATATATGCAAACATATATTAAAATGCGTAATTCAAGCAGTTTTATTGAATTTTTGTGGTCATACAAATAGTGTTGGTTTAAAGTAAGTTGTGGAGTCTTTCAGACCCGATCCTACTTTTTTATATCTGTTGCTCCTTATCTCAAACTCACTAAAACACTGATTCTCAGACGTGATAACATTAAACCAACCTTTCTACTTTTTCTTAACTTGTGCAGCTTGCCCAGCCCATCCGCCTCCTACTGGAGTACACCAACACCAAGTACAATGACAAGCTTTACGCCTGTGGTGAAGGTAATCTACTGTTTTCAACTAACAGATAAATAACTGTTTATCTAAAACGGTCCAAGTTAATTCTTGTGATTCACCTCTCTCACCTACAGCTCCAGACTATGACAAGAGCTGCTGGATTAGTGAAAAAGATAAATTGGGAATAGACTTCGTCAACGTAAGAGTTGTATTTGTTCATGTGAATTTCACAATAGGACAGGTTTAAAAGCTCTTCATTAAAAGTCTTGTGGTTAACACTTTAGCTGCCCTACCTTGTGGATGGAGACAGGAAGATCGTGCAGAGCAATGCTATCATGAGATACATCGCTCGTAAGCACAATATGTGTAAGTATTTTGTCCCGTGTATTAAAAAAAATACTTATAATACTTGCACGATGTGGTAGTTTTTGTTCCTTTAAAAATTTTAATGCAGCTTCATGTGTTCTACCTCTGTTCTGTGAATTTTGATTTGATGACAGGTGGAGAAACTGAGGACGAAAAGGTCCGAGTGGACATCTTGGAGAATCAGTCCATGGACTTCAGAAATGGCTTTGTGAGGATGTGCTACACTGACTTTGTGAGTATATGACGGTGCAAAATTTTAACGTTACATTATACGTCTACATCTCCACTAATGTCAGTCTCACCTCTGACATTAGGACAACATAAAGCCAGGGTACCTCAAGAGTCTGCCAGGTCAACTGAAGCAGTTCTCTGATTTCTTGGGAAACAGGAAGTGGTTTGCTGGTGACAAGGTAACTGCTGGTCGCAATCTGAGTTTTTATCCAATTAGGAAGCAAAGTTAATTTGAACTTTAGAAATGACACTTGGTAGAAAATAATATAAAATTGAGTTGTTTTCATTAACAGGTTTGAACTGAGTGCTACACAATATCACAGGCAGGTGGCAGGTTAGGCTGTTGTACATGACTAAAATAAAAACTTAAAGACAAAACGAACCCTCTTTGGTCAAGCCGCTTTTATTGTGATGTTTATCACATTCGCAACACTTGGACAGGTTTATTTAGTCAGAGTCAAACATCCCTGATCATCTGATCAGCCACGTCACACTTCTGGAACTGCACAACTTCTAAACGTGCATCAAAAATGTTAATGGAAACTAGTGTATTTGACTTGTGTGTATAAAAACTTGTTTTTTATCAGCAGAAATAAAATCTAGGCCTAGATTTTAGGTTTAAAAGAAGCTCTTTTTTTTTTTGCTTGTTTTTCAGTGATTTAATCAGTTTAGACCCACAGAAACAAGTTACACAATAAGCATTTCTTATAAATCAAAGAACGAGATAAAATAGAAGAAAGACTTCCTTATCGGGAGTTGTTCAACCTTTGATCCTTTTTGTGAAAATTCATTCTTGTTAACCAATTTCACATTAGGCTGGGATAAAAACAACAAAATTTGACAAAAACAAATGTGTAATTTCAGATTTTTGTCTACAGTAATCCGTTTTATACCTGATGCTAGCTTGCTTTCAGAGCTGCTCTCAACAAGTTTTAATTATTGTACCCAACAGATCACTTTTGTGGACTTCATCTTGTACGAGCTGTTTGATCAACACAGGATGTTTCATTCCACATGTTTCGATGACTTCAAGAACTTGAAAGAGTTTTTGGATCGTTTTGAGGTGAGACCACTGCCTAACTCAACCAGCTGCACATGTTTAATTCATCACTTACAGCTGCAGAAATGTAAAGCAGTCCTTGTAGTGGGCACTTGTAATATTGACGTCTACGTGCGAGGTACTAAGTTTTGCGCAAAGGATTTTAATTTATTAACAATGTTTTTCTTTTATATACATATATAGGCCCTGGACAAAATCGCAGCCTACATGAAGTCGGACAGATTCATTAAGACTCCTGTCAACAACAAGATGGCCAAATGGGGAAACAAAAAGGAGTGAACACATTTGCCTCTGGAAAAACAGAGCATTTCTTAAGTAACAAAACAAAACGGTACATTCAGTTCAAGAAATCTTTCACAATTTGCCTTTTTTAAAGTAATGAAAGTGTTGCTAATGTGTGCTTCATGTTCTGTAATCGCACTAGCTTACAACTTCTACAACCATTGACTAACTTGTGTACAAGAGGAAAAAAACACAATTTTGTTCTGTTTATGAAAGTTTGGTTGTGAAACTTTATTTTCAGTGATAACATGTTCAGAACCTTTTTTTTTTTGTTTGTTTGTTTTACAGATTAAACAGAATCTAGTACCAAATCTGTTTTGAGTTTTTAATTGACATAAATTGACAAATCACATTATAAATTATAGATTCAAAGACAATAAAAGTCTAGAGCAGCAGAAAGTATCATGTTTGTTATAAGTGCATGCATGACTCAACAGGTTTAATAAGAAAAAAGTAGACCAGGGTGCATCGATCTACACTCGTGAGACTTAAATACATAAAAGATGTAACGGTGTAAAATTTGAGTAATTGGTGACTTCTGAACATACAACTTTTATCAAAATCCTCTGTGCTCTTTCTGAAACGACACAAAACAGCACTGGTTGAAGTAGAGTTCATGCAGTGTTCGTGGAGATGTTTTTTCCAGATGTTCGCTGTAGTTAGTAGCGGCCGTTGTACATGGCTGAAGGTTCGCTGGCCAGCTGCAGAGACCAGGATGAAGCGTTAGTCACATGCTGGAGTTTGGTTTGTGCATAGAAGTGTGATCTAAGTACTTACTGCAAGGGACGATTTGACACCCTGAAGGTGGAAGAAAACCTTGCCTGCTTCCTCTGGACACACAGTCCTGATTTCTTCTTTGGACATTCCCAACAGCAGTTTTCCACTTAAAACCCCGAGGCTGGAGACGGTGCTGTCCATAGAAATAAAACGATCAATAATTCCCAATAAAAAACGCAGGTTTAACTAATAGAATAAACATCTTGAAGTTGGAGAACATTTCTCACATTCTGGAGAAACCTTTGTACTCGAGCCATGCCTTCACCTCAGCAGGACTGGAGCTCATGTTCAGAGTCGCGGGACCACGGCTGTCCCACTGAGAGGCAGACTGAAGGGAACAAACGTGTAAGAAATCTTGTACGGCAAGTCTCAGCAGGGCTAGATTTCATTTAGCTTACCGTTCGATCCTCCATAGATCCAGCGTTGTCAACTGGCTCCAAAACATTCGGAGGAACGTTGCCTTCCTCGTTACGGGAGTTGCGCACAAGCCACCATGGCCTAGATTTCTGAACCACCTGTAGGAAAAGGGTCAAATCAGCGACTTGGATGTCCGTACAGACCTGGCTGAGCTTTGCAGATACAATTAAACGCTTTCTTTAAAAGGACCACATCTCGCCCACCGATCTTCATACAGACCTTTAGATCATGGTCAACTTACATTGAGAAATGGAGATTAACCGTTTTCGTCAAACCTTGAAAATAACATCAAGTGCAATCTCTGCAACCACACCAAATTTCAGCGATCTGTCAAACTTGAGTGAATGAACCCTTTTTGTGTTTTATAGTCTGTTCACTGAGGCAACAAAATGGGATGAGGTTGACTCCAAAAGTTAATCAGTTTAGATGATTCCTTCCTGCTAGTTTCATTAAAACCCAGCCAGTGGTTTGAGATATTCTGGCAACAGACACACATGATTGCTCTGGCTTTACCCTTTGAGAGCAAGTGACTAAAAACAACTTCTTTTTAACAAATGAGCTGGATGTGCTTTAGTGGAGTTTTATTAGTGTCTGCTAGGAGCAGCCCAGACACCACTTTCTACTTTTCTGCCTTTTAAATTTAAGTTTTCACCTAACGCCTTTTACAACCAAAAATCCAGCTGAAAGGTCCAAAACCCAAGAAAACATGGGGACAGTTTGCCGGTGCATTATTACATTTGCATGGTTTACATTAACTACACAGTCACTGAGAATAAATTTCATCTTAGCAGGTGCTTACCAGAAAACACTAACCAATTATAGACCTATATCTAATCTAACTTTCATCTCAAAAATTCTAGACAAAATAACAATTTTCAGTCCGGTCATCTGGACAGTTTTTTTTTTTTTGTGCTGAAACGTTTCACCTTCCATCCAGAAGGCTTCATCAGTCCAGGAAAAACACAGCACAAAACTGATTCTTCCCCCAACAGCTTACTCCAAAGTGGAACAAACCAGTTATGTTGGTGCTAAGATGGTCTCTTTGGCACACCCCCTCCTCCGGTGCCGCCCCTCTCCCTTGTCGACAGTCATGTGAAACTGGTTCAAAACCATATACCTGGATTATTGAGCATGTACTTTGTTGGTCTAGACAAAGTAGTTGCTGGTCAGTTACGTGATGATCTGCAAAGAAATAATCTGTTTGAAGAGTTTCAGTCAGGGTTTAGAGCTCACCATAGCACAAAAACAGCACTGGTGAAAGTTACTAATTATATTCTCATGGCTTCTGACAAGGGACAGGTGTCTACACTGGTCCTGTTAGACCTCAGTGCTGCATTTGATACAGATGATTATAATATTCTACTACAGAGACTTGAGTTGGATATTGGGATTACAGGAACGGCTCTAAATTGGTTCATATTTATCTGATAGACTCCAATTTGTAAATGTAAATAATGAATCTTCATCATACACCAAAGTTAGTCATGGAGTTCCTCAGGGTTGAGTGCTTGGACCAATACTCTTGACCTTATATATGATTCCATTAGGTAATGTTATTAAACAGCATGGGATACATTTTCATTGTTATGCTGATGATACACAGTTATATTTGTTCATGAAACTCAATGAATCCAATCAGTTACTTAGACTACAAGCATGTCTAAAAGACATAAAAACCTGGATGACCCTAAATTCTCTGCTTTTGTATACAAACAAGACTGAGGTTTTAGTTTTTGGACCTGAGTATCTTAGGAATTAATGTTCCAGTCTTTCACCCTCCTTTGATGGCGTTAATCTGTCCTCCAGCTCTAATGTTAAAAATCTTGATGTTATTTTTGATCAGGACATGTCTTTTATCCCCCACATTAAAAACTTTACTAGAACTGCCTTCTTCCAGCTGTGTGATATCTCTAAAATTAGAAACATCTTATCTAAAAATGATGCAGATAAACTGGTTCATGCATTTGTCACGTCTAGACTGGACTATTGCAATGGTTTATTTTCTGGGTGTCCGAATACTTCTTTAAAACGTCTTCAGTTGTTCCAAAATGCTGCTGCCAGAGTCTTAACTGGAGTTAGTGGGAGCGATCATATCTCTCCAGTTTTAGCTTCTCTCCACTGGCTCCCTGTCATGTCCAGAATTAAATTCAAAATCTTACTTCTAACCTCCAAAGCTCTCAACAACCTAGCTCCATCTTATATTACAGATCTTATTGTTCCATATTTTCCTAACAGAGCACTTGGCTCTCAGTCTGCAGGTTTACTTGTGGTTCCTAGAGTTTCCAAGAGCAGAATGGGAGGAAGATCTTTCAGTTATCAGGCTCCTCTCTTGTGGAACCAACTTCCGGTTTTTGTTTGTGAGGCTGAGTGTCCAGTTTTAGGACTGGGTTTAAGACTTTCCTTTCTGATAAATCTTATAATTAGGCTTGGCTTGTTATGCTGCCGTAGGCTTAGACTACTGGAGGATAAACTGACCTTGTTTCCTTAAATAAATTGTTACAATTGAATAGTTTTCATTTGATATTATTTCTATCTTAATATGTGTTTCTCGACCTGCCATTGTGTATCTGTTCCTCCTTCCTGTTCCTCTCAAACCCAGCCTGCCAAAGAAGATGACCACTTGTCCTAAGCCTGGTTCTGCTAAAGGTTTCTTCCTCATGAGGGAGTTTTTCCTTTCCACTGTTGCCTTTGTGTTTACTTAAGATGAGAGTTCTGCGATGAGGTTAAATTCAAAGCAGTCTGTTCCTCAGATAAATAATGTTAACTTATTTTTTTTATATGAATACTTCTGAATTGAACTGTTTATTGCGTTTTGTACGGTAAATGCTCGTCTGCTCACCTGAATCACCTCATCCTTCATCACAGTGAGTTCTTGGTTGTTCCTGGCCACGAAGTTATAAATGACGCGCATGTACAGCGGTGGCTCTGTGGGGCTGAAACAGCAGCAGACAGCACACTTAGTGAAAACATGTAAGTCAGAACAAAAGCACAAGAGAAGTGGAGTAACGTGTGACCCTGCAGATGTGTGCTGCTGATAAAGCTTACCGCACAGGTGGAGGTGGACTCCAGGGACCATTGGATGCCAGCTGTAAAAGGCACAAAGTACATCATGATAAACTGAAGATACACCTCTTCATGATATGTCACAGGAGCCGTGTCTCCCCCGGTGCAGTAATTACAAATGTAACAGCCAATTAAAAATAGATGTGCTTTCAGTAGCGACAATTCCAACCACTGTCAACAACTTCCTGGTGTGGATTGTTATCTGGCATGTTAGAAAGCACAAACAGCAGCTGCATGTGTTGTGTGCACGTTTCTGCTTGTGGTGGGTCCCACACTCTTCAGTTCTTGTCTCATAAAAGAAAAGTCACATAGACTTTTGACCCTGGCTATGAGTTGAGTTATACAAGCTACGCTATAAAACGAAGAGCTTTGTCGACAATTGTAATTTTTTTTTTCTCACTTATGGTTTTTGCTTTTGGCAATCATTAATATAGATTTAATTTAGTAGATTTTTTTTAAACCCCCCCGACTTGGTTTTCACGACTTTTGTCAATTTGCAGGGGTCATGAGAACAAATGCAGCACTTGGTGTTGACAACCAAACGCTGTGTTCATTTGGAGGTAGTTAGTAAGTTTACCACCTGCTGCATGGCTCGGGGAGAGTAACTCTGGCTGTCATTTGTTGGAGCTCCAGGCCTGCTGGACTGAAAGCGTTGGCTGTTGCTTCTGCTGATCGGATCATTCTGACGAGGAGGCACAGGAAGGGTGTGAGAGGGCGCAGGAGGCTGCCAGCCATCATAAAACTCTGGGATGTAAGGAGGTACATTAGCATCCGGCCATTCAGACCTGGGAGGGAAAAGGAGGAGAAGAGAATGTCAATAGAGTTAAAGGAATGTTTTTATTTATTTATTTTTAAAGCAGCTTGAGTTTGAAATTGAATCAGTAAATGTTGCATTCAAGTTACGACAAATGGAAAATGAAAGAAGTCAAAAACTGGACACATCAGTGGGCCATTTTATGATCAAATTAACATTTGTATAAACAAATTTAATACTTTGATATGACATATCTCATCTTAAAGAGTCTGTTGACATAAAGCTAAACTATGCTTAAAATTGAGTGAAAACTGTGGCCTGTAATTGTCCATAATGTAGAATCAGCAATTCTAAAGTTCAAAAACTTATATCATTTATCTTTAAAAATGTATTTTAAGAGGCTGGCTTTTTTTTTTTAAACAGTCAAATATGAAAGGAGCATTGAGATGTTTATCAAATTTACACACAAAAAATGCTTCTCAGAAAGTGAATTGCTTTTTATTAATACATGTATAAAACCATAGTCATGTATTCATTAAAATAAAATAGCTACTGCTATTACTACTATTATTACTACTATTACTCCTAATACTAATATTAATAATAATAAACTTCCGGATGTCAGATTTGTAAAAATAAAAACATATTTTTTTAGGACTCGTGTTTATTGCTGCTGAAAGCATTTCTGACTGCTGGTGAAACAATTCAATGAACATCAGTTTGTTCAAACTACAAAGTCTGATCATAAAAATGTTGCTACGGTCTAATAAAGATGTTTGTTTCTGTAAATAAAATGTTAGTAAACAATGTTAAAATGTTGTGAATTCAATAGCAGTGATACACACAAATAAACAAAAGCCATACAATGTGTTCCCAACAAACTAGAAACCTTGAATCTGTTCCTCTTAATATTAGTTTTCTGTATCTAAACTATGCTATGTTCTTTCAAAACATTTCCATTTTTATTTGTTGTTATTTTGTAGAAAAAATGAACACATAACATGTTGACTTTAAAGAAAATTACACCCTGTGTGTAACAAAAATAAGAGCTTTTTTATATATAAATTTCCAAATAGTGACATATTCCATGTAGAGAATATTTCCAGCACATAAAGCCATAATTCCTTTAAGACACCCCAGCAGTTTCCATTTCCTGGCACACTCTCGTATTAAAACACACCTTTTTTCCATATGTTACGAAAGCAACGTTAACTCTGACCTGTGTTTACACATCAGCAGTGAGGTGGACGACGCCCAACATTCAGGCGTGTCAGGTCAGGAATGCGTGCGCTTCAAATCGATGCGCTGTACATGAGGAATTTTTACAAGCTTTATGAAAAGACAGTGGACTGTCCTACCTGGGGACGGACCAGCAGTCACCCAGAGACCTCCACATGCGTTTCTCCTCGATGGTCAGGGTCTGATTGAGCAGGTTCAAGGCCTTCGGTGTCAGCAGGGGAGACACAACTGTGGGAGGCAGGTCTGCAGGATACAGAGGAACCATCTGTGGGAAAATAAAGTGTGCACTCTTACAAGTAAGACAGAAAAATACGAGTCGAATACTGAAAGTAGCAAGAAACTTTGAAGAGCTTACCATGCCCAGATGAGTGGCGAAGATGTGAACAAACTCAGGGGCGCTCGGGTTGATCAGAACCCCATCTAGCTTGGCCTGAAATGTACAGAAGAGTATTTCTGCTGCAGTTACAGAGTCTAGCTTAAAAACACAAACTGCTCTCTCTAACTGCCTTGATCTGTACGGTCTTTCACTTATTCTGTCTCTTGCTAAAAAGGGCGTAATATCATTCACAACTCTGCTGACCAGGAAGCTGCTAAACTGGAAACCTGCTCATCCCTCTACATTTATGTTTTTATATACTGTATATACTGTGTTTTATATACTGACTGTGGGGAGCAGCCGTCCCACCACCTCGGACCTCTACACTTCATGATGCAGGGTTGGAAGGGCTCCGCATCATGAAGGACTACACTCATCCTGCACACAGTCTGTTCCAGTCCCACCCCTCAAGCAGGCGACTGAGGAACGTTCAGAGTAAGACCACCAGGCTCAGAAACAGTTTCTTCCCTGCAGCTGTCAGACTGCTGAACTCGAGCTGCACTTAATTCAGCTTCAGCTCACAGTTTTTTTAACTTCATTATATATATATATATATACTGTATTTGTACTATTTTGTATTTATTTATTTGTTAATCATTAGGCTTCTTGATCTGAGACCTGAGTCCAAATTTCATACCATAAAAAAGAAAATATAAGCTGGTAATAAAAAATCCTTGAATAAATTTGACTGACTTCGGCTGGTAAGGCTGTATCATTTAGAATAATCTGGACTCCCTTTCTGTCCAAAGTTGACGGTACAAGATGTCAGATTCTTTTGAACTGAGCACTACAGTGATGTGTCAATATGTATATATTTTTTAATGGTTTATCAATTATTTTCTTCTAGCTGTTTGTTTGTAGGTGCCGTGGTCGCGTGTTCGTGTTAATTTGAATTGTAAAAACTCAATAAACTTAGAGTTTTAAACTCTTCTCTTTGTGTTTTTGCCTAATTCAAACTGAAATGTTATTTACCAGCAGGTTGAATCCATATTTGACTTTCTGGAGGCACGTGACATATTCATCCCAGTGCGGCAGGTTGGAAGCTGGTGCTGTGATGGATTCAGAGACATTTAAGAACTCATCAAACACAAACGCCTGACCTGCATCTATAAAAGACCCCCTTCACGTTCTCTCACAGAAGAAGTCTTTATGAGGACAAACAGATAAGCTGCGTTACCGTTTGTATTAGACTTTTTCTTTTTCTTCTTGTTCTTGTCTTGCTGCGAAGGTGCGTTTGCTGCAGCTCCTATTTTGTTGATGAAAACCTCCAAATCGGTTATGACGTGATTTAAAATCTCCTGAGGAAGAAAATGAAGCATTTAAAATTAAACGTCCAGCATTTCTTAAAGGAATGTGCATCGCCCGGCGCCTTTCACACCAGAGTTTTAGACCGAGATCATATTTTGATGAGAAATGACAGCGCTGTAGCTGCTTGGGTCAAACCTTGATGACAACATTATGTACGGTCTTATGCAATACTGTGAGATGTCACACTCAGAGTATGTGTTGTGAATGACTCTCGGCTACTACCACATCAAGTTTCATCCTCCTATCTGCAAAACCGACCGAGTTATAGCCATTTTTGTGTTGCTGTGGCAGCCATCTTGAATTGGACTGTCTCCAAATAAGTAATCAGTTGTAAATGTGCATCCAGTGTTTATTTCCTGAAAGTGTTGTTAAAATTCATCCAGTGGTTCATGATATATTTTGCTGACGGACAGACAAGTTTGGGCAATAAAACATTTGCTGAAACATGAAGAAAAAAACGTGCGCGTCCTCAGCTTGAGCTTCTGATGCGTGTTGTGTGACGTTCTCGCAGCACTAACCATGTTCCTCTCTGTGTCTGACCCGTCAGGAGCCATCTGTGGGCTGCTCTGCATGTCAGGGAGCTCTGCGTATGGACTCGTCTCTTGCTGTGGGGTGTAGGCCTGCTGGGGAGGCATGGAACCTAATTGGAAATGAGAGAAGATTTAAAGAGTATTGACGACCTGAGTTCATTTGTTCATTTAGAGGTTGCTCGTGCAGACTGTTGTAAAGGAAGATAAAAATTAATTAATCAGATAAGCACATGTGGAGGGAGCTTCTCCTGCTTTGAGCGTACCTGGCTCTCTCCTGAACTGCTGTGAGGCTGAATAGTCTGGAGATGGAAGGGTCTCCTCTTGTTGCATGGGACGGGGCCCGGCTAGCCGGAAGCTTCCTGGATTATGCCGGTCCAGATTATTCCTATAAAATTAATCAACAGCCAGACGTTTCTATTTGATCCAGCCCTCTAGTTTTTCATACATGTGATATTGTTTTTTTGGCATGTATTTGAGTTCTGTACCTGATGTCAGCCGGCTCTCTGTGGGGGCTCAGATGCCCCCCTCCTCTTCCGCCTCCTCCTTCTCTCTGCACTGCTTTATCCAGATCTGTCTTAATCAGCTCTGCCTAATAAAACAGGCCTGCTTTAATCTCACCAGCACCAGTAGCACACAATGGTCACAAACGCCATGCAGTTTCTGAAGCCTTCATCGGGTCAAAGGTTAGTTCACAGGTGATCCTTGTGATCAGGACTCACCCCGGTCTCCTCACACTGGAACAGGAAGACCTGCGGGAAACGTCTGCTGCGCTCCTGTACGGTTACAGCCAGCAGAGAGTTGTAGGCGCAGCTGTCCAGCACCGCTTTGGTTTCCATGATGCTCATCAAAGAAACGGACTCCAGCTCAGCCTGCGTGGTCAGAGTGAGAAGCTCACAAACTATTACGACTTTTATCATCAACAACAACAACAACAAACAGATTCATAAATCATTGTCTTTCAATGCCTAAAATTATTGTTGTCACTCACGTTTTTGCCCATGTGTCTGTCTGTTAGTAAAATATTTCATTACCACCTGAAGGTTTTTAATGAAACAAAAAAAAAAACGTAATCATTAGGGGAACATTTATAACCGGTATTTTTAGGTGTCAAGACGTTTAAAAATGGCTGCCACAGCCAACGGACCTTTAAAAAAAAAAAAAAATTGTTACAACTCGGTCAGTTTTCTAAATCTCAATTTGGATTTACTCTAAACTTTCATCAGTTTTAGACATACACCCAACAATTACTGTGGAAGTTTCATTCAAATCTGTCCAGTGGTTTACGAGTTATTTTGCTAACAGACAAAAGGGGTTGACTCCAGCAGAAAAGATCTCAATAAGTAAAGCTCTGATCACAAGTTACGAATGGCTCTCATCTACGTCTGCACAATATTTTAGCACAATATCTATAATATTAATACAATTATGAGCATTTTTCCGTTCAGTTGGTTGCGGTGGACATCTTGAATTGTGTCAACTTCAAAAGAAATCCAGCTAGAGATGTTCTCCCAATGATTTACTTTTATTAAAATTCATCCAGTGGCTCATAAGATATTTTTGTTAACAGACAGACACACAAACCCAAGCGCACAAACAAACACGAGTAAAACCCACCATCATTGGCATGGTATTGGCCGATATTAGCGATGAATTAGTGATAAAGTTAAATACCGGACATTGGCCATTCCATCAAAATAACTCATCAATACAAAAGGTGCTGTTTAT